GACGCCGAAGGCCGAGCAGCGTCGTGGAGGCGATCACGGCCGCCTCGCCGACTCCTTAGTCCCCGTGCCGGTACATCCGGCGTATGAACGTCGGTGCAGCCCTGGGTCCCCTACCCGGAGGCCGGGTTCGTTGGAGGTTTAGGGTAAAACATATGATTTTGAGGACAAGGACTCGTCGTGTTCCGTGTTCAGCGCAAATCATTCGTTCTGAGATTTGTCGATGGCTCTTGCTTCAGCATCCAGAATATTAGCCCTTTTCCAGAAAATCACAAAGCAGCATATTTTTTTGTGCTAGTTTAGGACTCGTTTGTAATGATTTCATCCCATGTGATTCCATGCTTGTTGTGATTTTTCTGGTTCCAAACAACATGTTACATGTGAGTCTGGAACTATGGAGTTTTGACATGTCGCAAGAACTTTTGTCATCGCTGCCCATGGATGATCTGGAGCCGGATTTTGGGCCACCCCAACAGGGGAAACCAAAGAAAAGAAAGGCTGCAGAAGGTTTGAGGACTAGGAGCGGCCAAGTGCTTTTGATTTTCTCGCGACCTGAGAAAGGCCAAGAGGGCCTTGACGAGGTGCGGTTTGATGGGTCCTTGTGCGTGCAGTCAAGCACTGGAAAGTTTATGTCTGATGGAGCCTTGTGTGTAAAGTCAAGCTTTGCAAGGTCTGTTTGCCAACCAGCTCCGAAGTCCTGTGCCGCCAAAAAGTAAATCAGCATTTTAAGCGCCAATACTTGTGATTCATGGCATGTTTGCTGCGTTTTGTGATGTTTTGTGCTTTTTGCAGTAACCCTAAACCCTAAACCCGAAAAACCCTAAACTGTCATGTTTTTCGAGGGCAAGGATAGATTTTGGATAGGTTTTGCGAAGAATGACACGTTGAGGCAAGAATTGGGCTTAGACGCACGTTTTTTGTTATGGGTTCAGCTTGGGTTGTCCAGTGTCCCTCCCACTGTCCCTCCACTGTCCCTCCACTGTCGCTCCCTGTCCCTCCCGTTTTCCGTTTGTCGCTCCGAATGTCGCTCCCGCTGTCGCTCCCGTCGCTCCCGTCGCTCCCGCTGTCCCTCCACTGTCGCTCCCACTGTCCCTCCACTGTCCCTCCCGGTTGCTCCCCTATGGTGGCCTTTCACAGCCCCGTTCACCTCCAAAACGTGCCTTTTCGGGGCAGGCAGCGTGAAATCAGCACCTGAAGCAGCTCAATGTGTGATTCATGGCATGTTTGCTGTGTTTTGTGATGTTTTGTTTGTTACTTGGCAGTACTCCTAAACCCTAAACCCCTTAAAACTTTAAATCCTAAACCCGAACTCTTTGAATAGTTGAAGTCTTCAACGAAAAGGGCTTTTCAGGATGACACACGAGGGCAAAGTGATCAAACTCTCATTTTTCCGCAGGTGCGCAGGGAAGACCTCTGGGGAGCAAATGCTGCATCTGCAGCAACTCTCCTCAGCAGGTTCCAGTTGCAGACCTCTGAAATTTTGATGTCTTGCTGAAGGTTCCAGGTGCAGACCTCGGAAATTTTTATCTTTTGCTGAGTGTGTAGATCTAACACTTCTGTTTTCTGCGAACAGCGAGACTAACCACACCGGGATGCGAAAGAAGCAGAGTCTTTCAGAACAAGGGCGCTCGAAGAGACGTCTACTAGATTAGGCCCTAACCAGGAGTCCAATTTTAGAAGTTGGATCAGAGTGCGTGCTCCAGCTGTGATTTCAGCCATATTCAAGTCTCTGGACAGATCAACCCCATCAGCTTCAAAATCATGGTTTTTGTCAAGTGCCCACTAAGACAAGATCTGCCAACGACAGGACACCAGTCATTTTAGGCCAAAACAAAAAATTAAGTGTCAAACCTGGTGTTGGATGCGACAGTGTAAGCTGTATTCCGAAATAGCTTCCAGAACCGAACCCTCGACCAACCCTTACCCGTTTTGCACTAGGGGTTTGGGGGGACCCAGGGCTGCACCGACGTTCATAATCCGGCGTGGGGACAAGGATTTAGCGGTGGTGGCTTTGCACGCCACCTGTGGAAGCTTCTGGATGTGCCGTCGCTGCAGGATCGGCAGGACGAAGCATAACGGCTCTTGCGGTTTCGAAGCGCGCGTTCAGGACGTCAGCCTGGTCATGCTGATCGTCGCAGGCGGTTGCTCGATGTGGTGGCAGGGAAGGAACCAGAGAAACCGAAATCTCGAGCTGAGCACAAAGTTCCTTCAAAACTCCGGAAGATTGCAGAATCAAGCACTGACTCGCGTCGCATGCCAAACGCTGAAGGCAACGACTGCACCAGCTCGCAAGTGAAGGCCGAAGACCTCCAGCACGAGATCGAGTACATGAAGGAGGCCTCGACTTCTCACCTCGGGAGATTGTGGTTTTAATTGCGCCAAGGCATACGACCGGCATGGCATTCACGTCTGCATCGTGGACGCGGTGCTCCTGAGTTACGTGCAGGTGGGTTAATCCGTAAGCGCTCTGCAGTATCGGCCGCTTCCGACAAGGACGACGATGCTGCAGCAGCCTCGGCACGAGGCTCGGTCTTCCTCGCAGAACTCGAACGGTCGACTTGTCTCAGGCCCCAGCTGCTGTGTGAGCGCGGGGCAGTGATGCAGCATCTTCCTATGCATATGGATTGAAAATGAGCCGACCTGCAGCTGCTCGGGGAAAGCATGTGCGACTGAGAAGCCGATAGGACGCGTCGTGTAGCGAGTTCTTCGCATCCAATTCCGACCGAAGCTTAGGCCTTGAGGTACCCATACAGGAATCGCGTTAAGGCCGATAAGTATACACTACGAAGGTGCAAGGATCCTTGGGGGTTCATCCACATCACCTTCGACCCTAGGCGAATTCTTCGGGCATAGTCAAGGATAGAGTGCTACCTTTAGCTGAAAAAAGCTTACCGCTTGTAGGTTCCATATAGTAGTTTCTATATATGCTCTCCAAAAAGCAAAGGTTTTTTGGGGGCAAGAGACGGTTTAGGCTTCGAAGGTGTAGAGTGCTTGGGGCAGTGGGCCCCGATTCGAAGGTCAGACCTTGAGCTCATGACACACTGTTTACATGACGGGTACTTGGAGGTTCGTGGGTAATTAGTTATAAGTAGCGTTATAAGTAGGGTAACTATACTTGTAACCCATGTTAGGGGACTTATAACCCCATTTATAGCTACCCATGAACCTCGAAGTAGTTCCCTAAACTCAATTGGGACGGGACCCTAAAGGGAGCCTTACTTCAGAGAACTACCCATGTTCAGGCACACAGGTCTAAGTTTTAGTGTTCAGGGTTTGGGGCTTATGTCGATCTCGTGCGTGCATTCTGCTCACAAAATGTTGTACAAGTTCGGGCTCGTGTAGGTAACAGGGGGGCATTCCTCACTATTGGCTTGTTTTCTTAGGATGCCGCGTCTTCCGACTGTTTAGCCTGTACCCCAAGAGCCATCGATCCGGGCGCTTTCTATGCGTTGTGGGTTACGGCCGCAGTGCACCAGGAAAGTCGTTTAATACATTTAAACAAGCAGCGACCGAACATGAGTTTGTAGATATTCGTACATCTTAAAGGGTCCAAGTTCCGGTACGGTATAGTAAATACTTTGGGGCCCAAATATCTACTAAGAACCTTCTATATTGGTACTTGGACCCGATGGGTATTGACGTGCTTATTTCACCTAGCATGACACGGAGACGTTTCTAGGGCCGGCTGGAGTGGATCCTCGCAGCATCTTTTTCAGTAGTTGAGCGAAGAGCGCTCCTGACTATTTTAGAGCCCCCAAAAGAGCTCGGGCCGAAGGTTTAGAGCCAGGAGGGTTTACGGTTTAGGATTTCGAGCCTGCGACTCCATCCCCCGCAATGAGAGTTGATTTTCTGGACCCATGCATGTAAATGTTACTTGAAGTAGTAGTAAGAGGCCCTGCTTCTTTGGGAGCCGTCACATGCACCTGCCGGAGCCTGCCAAACGCGATGGTCTTGTTGCGAGTAGGGGATTAAGGCAGTTTCGTGGTCTAGGGCACCCGACTTCAGCCTTAGAAACCATAGGTTTTTGTTAAGGAGCTTAAATTTTAAGTTACCATGATAGGTATCTACAGCAAATAATTAACATGGTTTCCTTATTATGGTAACTCCACCTAAATCCCTTAACAACAACCCAGTTTAAAGTGTTAAGGTTTCAGGATTTCAGGTTGGAGGCTCCGTGGCATTGGCACAGGCAGATGACACCACCAGGCACATCGCGCCACCAAACACCACGAGTCGATTTGGAAAGGTGCTTAGTGCGACTTTGCTTTGTGTGGTAATTTCGAACAATCCGCCGAGCTGCAAGCGGGTATGCTGCCTATCGTCTCCATTGTAGTTCCTTGCTTGGTCGAACCGGTTTAATGTAATTAGAACCTTAGAAGGTAACCATTAAAAGGAACTACCATCGAGACTACAGGTCATGCTCCAATGCTCTGGCTTATGTCAGTCTTGGATACACGGAGGCTACACCAAACCTCGATTCGGAGACTTCCGAAGTTCAAAGCAAGCCATTAGAGGGCTTTGCAAACAACCATAGCTAGCTTGTTGAAGTGGACAACCATGAACTCACATCCAGTTTCTCGAATGACGACGACGACTACTACTACTGCTACTTCTACTGCCACTGTCACTGCCACTGTCACTGCCACTGCCACTGCCACTGCTCCTGCTACTGCCACTGCTGCTGCTGCTGCTGCTAGTGCTGCTACGACTACTACTACTACTACTACTACTACTACTAACTACTACTACTACTACTACTACTACTACTACTACTGCTCCTGCTGCTGCTGCTACTACTACTACTACTACCACTACTAAGAAGAATAACAATAATAATACTACCACTTCCACTACGTACCACTGCCGCGACCACGACCACGACTACTACGAGTACTAGTGCTGTTTTCTAAAGCTGGTCCTGATCTGATCATGTATATTCTGGCGGTTATGTCTCATTGTTACCACTACACCACTACTACCGATTGCATGATTGCTTTCGACAGGTTGTCGTGCCACCTGACGGACCGTATCCGCCACAGTTGGACATCCCAGCTTGTCCACCGTTTAGAGTCTAGGGTATAGGGTTCAGGGTTAAGGGTTTAAGGTTTGCTTCGGACTTGCAGGTATGGGCTTGAGCATTGTGTTTAGTGACTTTAGTGGCAGGGCAAATTATGTAGTGACAAGTCAGCGTAGTGAGTGTTTGTTTGAAGTTTTCGGAGACGTTGAGCATGTTCAAGACCGTTCGTGATGAGCTGTTTCTTGGAGCCTTTTCTTGCTGTGCGGAGTGGTGCATTTGGCTGTATGGAGTGTTGGTCTTGTTTTCTGTGTTTTCCTGGCGTTCCTTTGCAAAGCTGTCATCTTCACAGGAAAGGTTCAGGCTTCATGTGTCTAAGCAGCCCTTGCAGCCAGCATCTGTGTTGTGAGGGGTGACCAGACATGACTTCAAAACTTGTTGTCGGTCTGGGTATGTGTATGCTCTGCAATTGTTTTCCCAGCGATTCTTGGAGATTGTGGAGTGCTGAAGCTGCGGACTATTGAAGCTGACGACAAGAAATGCAGATCCCTACATGTATGTGAAGCCCCTGGATCAAACTTACCTGCGGAACGAGTGGGATGGGTCTGGTCAACACGGCAGACATCCCATCGATCACAACCATTCTGCAAAAACCAGCCTAAATCCTCCGGCGGAGGCTTCTTGCTGCGTGTATGTCATACTTCGCAGACTCTGGAACTGAACGCAGCAACCGAGTTCGGCACATTCTCTTACTCTCTCGCTTCCCAAGCCACTGCCCTAAATCCTATAAATCCTAAACCAGGTGCTATGGAGGTAATCCCCTGCAAGTACGCGGCTCACGCGGGGAGCAGGTCGGAAACATCGGTGATTCCGGGACCCTGATAGAGGGTCTAATTTTTTAGGGTTTGGGGTTTAGGCTTTGTAGTATAATTCCGGAATCCCTTGGTCCATATATAGCTATGGTGTAACACACACCAACCAAACCTGTGCTCGAATCGTTGAGAGCCGAGTACTGGTATCTGAATACACAGTATAGGAGTATTCTCTTATACAGTCCAGACATGAGAATGTAGCTACACAGCAGTAGACTCCAAGACTGGATTATTGCTTATTGAATATACTGTACTATTCTATGCGCTCTTAAGTTCCATTGGCAACAGGGTGCGGACACCGATTCGGAACGGCTCTGCCAGGGTTTACAGTACTTGGAGGTTCATGGAGGTTTATAAGTACTATAGGTACCATACTTGTAAACCCACAAAAATATCCGCCCATCAACCTGCACGTAGGGGGTTAAGGTGTGTGGGGTTGGGGCTTGTGTAGCATCAGCCCGAGTATGTTTAGGCTCTAAGCCTGAGCCCAAAAGGACTGAAAGCCTCAGCCCAGACGCGCCGAAACCCTAAAGCACCAAAACATAAAACTCGAAGGCAGAGGGCGTGGTCGTCCCTAAACCCTTAAACCCTGAACTCGAAGCCCTAAACCCGATTCTTCAAACGCTCAAAACCTGTGGCAGGCGGAGTAGGGTGCTGTAACAAAACACCCAAACCTGGCCTGAAGGCATGCCGAAATCCCGAGGCCTTTGGGCCTCAATCCCTAACCCGTAAACCGTAAAGCCCTACATCCTGGCGTCTCCATATATACTGGCCTGAATCACCCCCCTAGCAGAAAGACATGAACGCGCGAAAATGTATATGAAAACGCACATGCGCATGCACACGCGCACGCACTCGCGTATGCATAAGCATATGTGTGCATATATATATATATATATATATATATATATGTTTAGGTCTACTATTTACATACATACACGCATATTTGTTCATTTATACGTACATACATACATACATACATGCATACATGCATATGTATATATATATATATATGTGTATATATATATATATATATATATATATATATCACAAGCTTGTGCGTATACATAAAACAAGAAGAAGAGCAATAATAATAATAATAATTATAATAATAATAATAATAATAATACGATTAAAATAATAATAATGAGAGTAAAGCGAGACAGCTAAGAACATATCAAACCGGCTCGCTCCCCTCAGCCAAGTGGACCAGGTGAAGCCACAGGTTTGGTCTTTACAGACCGGCGTCCAGGAGCAGAGACATCTTGTTGATCGCTAATGGGACCTAGAGGGAGGGGGGCTGTGTAAGGTTGCGTCCCGAACCTACTACGTAGCAGTACATGCAGACATTGGAGTCATGTACGTTAATAGCTGTGCCACGAAGGGCCCAGGCATACTGCTTAGTGTCCGATGATTTTGCATTGTTTCGGCTTCAGATTTTAGGTTCGCTTGTTTTAGTGACAGAGTAGCTGTGCTAGAAATGGTGTCAGTGCAACCCGCTGCTATGTAGGCAAAGCTCAACCTATCGCGAAGTCTAAGTTACCCTGCCCATGAAAATGAAGTATCTGTTCTCCCGTGGTGAGAGTGTTCCCTAAATGCCGATCTGATCTGGATCATAAGATCTGCAGCCTCGACCCCCAACTGCATTGACCTAAACTCTAAAGCCCTAAACCCTCAACTCTACACCCTAACCCCAAACCCTGAACCCTAAACCCTAAACGCGCAACCCTAAACCCTACACCCCCAACCCTAAACCCCTAAACCCTGAAACCTAACCCCCCCCACCCTATTTTAAACGCTCAAGTCTCGCATACTAGGACCCAGAGTAGGCCCTTATTCCCTTTTTTAGGGTTTAGGTTCCCTTATAACCCCCTTTATCCCACCCTTTTTATGCCTAGGTTACTCTTGGGTCTCGCATAAGATCCCTAAACCCTAAACCCTAAACCCTAAAACCCTAAACCCTATAAACCCTAGAACCCTAAACCCTAAACCCTAAACCCTAAACCCTAAAACCCTAAACCCTAAACCCTAAAACCCTAAACCCTAAACCCTAAGATTTGCGAGGAGAGCCTTGACATGTTTGCGAAGACGCTCATGCGACCGGCCCCTCGGTTTTGAAGCCGTACCCGAAGGTTTAGGATTTAGGGTTTGGGGGTTTTAGGGTTTAGGGTTTTAGAGTTTTAGGGTTTTGGGGTTTTAGAGTTTTAGGGTTTTGGGGTTTTAGGGTTTTAGGGTTTTGGGGTTTAGGGTTTTTAGGGTTTTAGGGTTTTGGGATTTAGGGTTTGGGGTTTAGGGTTTAGGTTTCAGGGTTTAGGTTTTAGGGTGTAGGGTTTTAGGGTTTAGGTTTTAGGGTTTAGGGTCTAGGGTTTAGGGTTTGGGGTTTAAGGTTTAGGTTTTTGTTTTGTATATCGGGGGTTTCCGAAAATTAGGGGTGCCTTATTTCGGGGTCCCTATTATAAGGATCCCCCTACTATTTAGGGCACTATATTAGGGTCCCCTATTTTCGGAAACTCCTATACACCTTAAAGGCTTCTATAAGGGTTCCATAAAGGGTGCTACAAGGGTTCCTTAAAGGGTTTCTGTGGGCCTCGAGGCTAATGAGTTTGGGGTCTACGGGTTTAGGGTTTAGGTTTAGTGTAAGGTCAAGGGTTACTTTAAGACAGGGCTTCTCGGAGGGTTCTTTAATAAGGGTTCCTGAGAGGGATCAACAAGGGTTCCTTGGAGGGTGTTCCAAGGGTTTCTGAGAGGGTTCATGGGGTTCCTTCGACGGTTCTATACCTATAGGGTTTAGGGTCTACTAGGTTCCTATGGTAAGCGCGACTATAAAGATTCTCTTTGAGTTTCCCATAAGAGTTCTACAAGGGTTCTAGAGGGTTACCTTAAGGTTCCGATGGATGTCAGGCCGTGGGGCTAAGGCTAACTAATGGGTTTTAGGGCTTAGGGGTTTAGGGTTTAGGGTTTGGGGGTTAAGAGGTTTTGGGTTGAGGGGTTTAGGGTTTAGTGCAAGGGCTGCTACAAGGTTTCTGTTAACAGAACCATGGACCCGAAAGTCCAAACAAACCCTGAAGCCCAGAAAGGGGCTCCTTTAAAGGTTCCTCTTAGGGCTCCTTTAAAGGTTCCTCTTAGGGCTCCTTTAAAGGTTCCTCGTAGGGCTCTTTTAAAGGAGTCTGAAAAACTCATAGATCAGATGATCTTTGAGCGTTCTGTAAGCGCACGATTACGGCGCACTATAGTAGTAGAAGCCCCTAGGCTGCACACCCAATAGCCTCAATTCAAAGGGGAAAAGGAGGGAGCCTTAATGGGGACCCCTACCCTATAATGGGCTATATAATGGGTATATAATAGCTACATTAAGGGTATATACCTAGGGGTCCTTCCTAACGGTCCCTCCTTTTACCCTTGGATCAATCCTTAAGAGGAATGTATAGGGAATCCCAGCACTACTTGTCCCTGATCCGGTTTCCGGCTTTTTGGGGTTGACTATATGCTGTCTTAAACATGAACCCTACAAGAGTGCCGGCAGGACCCCTGAATCAGAAGCCACAGGAAGCTCCCCCTAAACCCAAACCCTAACCCCCCTAAACCCACTACCCTACTAAACCCAGAACCCCAAACCCTAAACCCCCAAGAAGCGAAGCCCAGGTGCGGTATTCTTTCATCGAAGACTTCGAGCTTCCTGTACCTGCCTTTGGATACAGGATTTAGGGCTTCCGGGGGCTTGGGGTTTAGGGCTTGAAGTGTCTGGTCTTTAGGTTTTTGGGGCAGGGTTGAAGATGTGGGGCTTTCTGGGTTTAGGCTTGAACCTCTATGCATGCTTTATACTTGTCCTTTTTCGCTTCGGTTAATGATGAACAGGTCTGTTATCTCCGTAAACCCCTCAAGTCGTGCCTCGTCTATCCATCTATCCATCATCGCAGGGATCTTGAGGCTTAAGTATTCGGACTGATGCAGAGTTTTAGTTCGGATTTCAGGACGCAGGATGGCACGGTAGATTGCTCCCATCTTCACGCTGCGGAGGAAGAAGAAGAGAAAGAGAGAGAGCTTTCTCCAACACGCTGCGCCCTAAACCCTAAATCCTAAACCCTAAACCCTGCCCTAAACCCTAAACCCTGCAAGAGCTTTCTCCAATGCTCGTGATCATCAAAACACCGTCGGCGACCTCGGCTTCACCAAGATGAAACTCTTCGTCATGATTAAGACCAGGATCATCCTCACCCACCATCATCATCGTCATCATTGTCGTCATCATTGTCGTCATCATCATCATCATCAGCCTTGCCATGGTCAGTTTAGTGAATCATCGTCGGTGCATCGTCAATATCAGTGCCGCCACGGCAAGCATCAACATCGACCCCGAGGCTATGTAAGGTGATGGCAAGGATACCTTAGAAGGGGCCCCCACCCTGTAATAGTGGTATAATAGGAATATAAGAGGGCCCTAATATAATCCATATAGTCACTATTACAGGGTGGGGGTCCCTTCTACAGGATGCCGTCAAACCAGAGATTCCCCAGTAGCACCCTTTTGCCCTGGTTCTTTCCGTGCTCCCCTATGAAAGAAATTGTAGTACAAAAGGGTACCTTCGTTGTTAAGGGGCTACTTGGGAACTTGGAGCCGCTTAATACCAAAGCCTACGTAGCGAGCAACGTTAGGCCTGCCACCCGTCCTAAGGTCAATATAGAGGCCTGAGTATCTAGTGATACTACTCCGTAGGTTTACTGCCACTAGGTCTTTGGGTCAAAAGACGAATATGGAGGCCTGACTAAGTAGTAATGATATTTGTCCTTAGGTCTCCTTTCTATAAAGGTATGTGTGTGACAATGTACGCTAAACCCTGTTCTAATGATCGAGGCCCTTTATCAAAGGATTTCTCATAGTGACGTGTGCAAGGCGCTTTAAGGCAAGTGGGTTCTCTCCCCAGGGAGTTATTTTTTAGTTAGGGTTTAAACTTTAGTGCTCCATGGTTTTAGGGCTTGGGGTTTGAAACAGGGTTCATGCTTAAGGGCTTTGTGGTTTTAGGTCTTGGAGTTTTAATTTGGGTTCAGGCTTTAGGGCTTTATGGTTTTTAGCGCCTGGGGGTTTAGGATTTAAGGGGTCGCATCGCATGGCCACCTGAGCTGGTGGCCTTTGAAATCCAAGGGAGTTCTTTGGGCTTGCGCAACAAGGAGCTACAGGGAACTCCAGAAAGTTGGACTATGGTTTCAGGGTAGTATACCCTATAATTTACCATAGAGGGTTTAGGATAATCATATTCCAACTTTCTGGCTTTTACTATATGCTACTCGTGTGGGCTGAACTTGGGTCCTGGATTCTCGGGAACCCTTTTAAAAATCAGTTGAAGGCTAAACTTATTATCCCGAAGCTAACAACGATGCAAGCAAGAGGCCTCCAACAACGACGTCGTTCAAGTCAGGCGGTATGCTGCTGGGTTGCATCTGCGGCGTATGATATGTACAATTGTTACGTCGTCATATTCATAGGGATCCTTAGGGGTGTAGAGGGGAGGGGTGTAGGGGACTATAATTTCCTTAAATAGGCCTTATTAGTCCTTATTATGGGCCTTAAGGCCCCTTACCCCCCCTCCCCCTACACCCCTAAGGATCCCTATGACATATCCACGTCCCCAAGGGGGCTTCCGGGTCCCCCCGCTTGTTCGAAAAACAAAGCGAGCTGGCAATCCTACTGGCTAAACTTTCGGGATCTCACAGTTTCGGAAGTATAAGCCAAAGGGTCCTATGTACTGTTATGGGGGATACTTCCCTAAGGCATAATAGTAATTCCCAAAATGGAAACCCTACATTCTAGTATATCGGTACATTGGACCCTTTGGGAAAGGATCCGTATTGTGACTCCAGGTTCAGGAAATCCCCGATTCCCAAAGCCGCATGCTCAGAGCCGCAAAGGCTACAGCCATCAAGCCCCCATAAAACCCAACCCAGAGCCTCTAAACCCCGAACTGAGGATCTCAAATCTTCATGCTCATACCCTACCCCCTTTTTTAGGATACCTAGTTTTATGGTTAGGGTCTGTTACATAGAACATATTAGCTAGGGTATTAGCCATAACAGAAACCCAGAAGCTCCCAGAAAAAAACCCAGAAGCTCTCCCGAACGTCCTATCCCAAACCCTGGGCCGCCTCGGTTTTAGGGTTTAGGGTTTAGGGTTTAGGGATTAGGGTTTAGGGTTTAGGGTTTACGGCCCCCCCAAAAAATGCTACACCCAGTTTGAGGCGTCCTTGTGGTTGTGGAACTGGGCTTTGTAGTACCATACTTGCATACTTTTCTCTTAAAGGAATCCTTATGAAATACAAGTTTATACTTTTTCCGCCCAGGGAAACATGCTTCAACTTGAACCCGAAATCTTAAGCCAGGAATCCCTGACTCCCAAAACCCTAAACCCGAAACTCCTGAATACGTAAAACCGCAGACGCCCCTCTATCAAGAACCGCATGTAACCTCTGAGGCCCCCAGCAAAAAGCATGAAAACTTTAACCGTCTAGGAACACCTGCAGGATTCATTTTCTTATAGCTGTGAAAGGAAACCCTAAACCCTAAAACCCAATCCCTAAACCTTAAACCCTGAGCCTAAAACCCAAACCCCTTGGCAAACAAAAACCTCAAGAAGCACATGACGCCGCTTGACTCCGGTGTTCTTCACCCCGAGGAGCTCAACGAAGAAGGCCTTCGCCAGGCTCAACGCATGTAGGTTTCCAATGAGGGTTCCTCTTCGGGTATTTTTTCGGGTTCTTTAACGGGTTCCTAAAAGGGGTTCTCGTTTTGGGATTCATAACGGTTGCTGGAGTTCCTGTAATGGGTTCCTGAATCGGTTTCTTTGAGGATACCTTTGTTGGGAATCTCCAAGGTTTCCTTTTAAGAGGTTCCTATCAGGGCTCCGTAAGGATGCCCTAAGGCTAGGGGGAGAGGGCTGCACATGAGGGTCTGGGGTTCGTTTTGCGGGTGTCTTGAAGGGTTCTGTAAGCGGTCTTTAAACCGTTAGGCCTTAAGAAATTTGGGGCTTTGAGTGTTCAGGTGTGTCGAGTGTTTCGGTTTGTATTTTTGCCTTTGTGGTTTAAGCGGGGGCTTGTGTACGACTTATTAGGCTTCTAAGGCCATGCTGAGGTTTGGTTCTATTGACTTGAAGTGATTCATATTGTCTCCATAGGAGACTCTGGGCGTTTAAGGTGCTAGGTTTCAGGGTTTGCGGCTTGGGGTTTCAGAGTTCGGGGCTTCGGGGATCTGCCTGTTTGGGGGTATCAGGGTTTTTAGGTTTAGGGTTTAGGGTTTTCATGGCACATTTCAGCAAGTCAGGACTTGCTTGCTTAGTAAGTTTGCTTTGGCCTGTGAATGTGAAAGGCATCTAACCCTGAACCCTAAAACATGTGGGTTCGTTTTGTGCATCCCTAGGACATCCGACCTGCTTTTGTTCTCAGTACCCAGCTATGTAGCTGGCCGATGAGGATGTCGGGTGAAGGACAATTCGAGCTGGATCAGCCCACTCGCCCTTCTTATCCGTTCAGGTTCACTCAACGGACTCTTGAGAGCGGTGGCCACGAAGGAGGAGGTGGGCGGCTAGAGGTGGAAGACCAATCAAGTGCTCCAAGTGGGGACAACTTCCATTGGACATGTGCCTCTGGATGCTCATGGCATCAGGCCTTGAGCTGTCGGACTCGACGGCCAAGGACGAGGACATCGTCCAGACATGGTTCGACGGAGCCTGCGCCTGCGCCACCAGAGCACGATGCTCACATCAAAGCGCCCTGAACCACACAAGGGAGCCTCCGATGCCGCTGACGGAGCTGCTGGTGGGGGTCTCGTCTTCACACGATGGCGAAGAAGTGGGGGAAGCTGGCCAAAGTTCGGATAGAGCACTTGCAAGGGGGCAACTCAGGTAGTTAGTTCTGGTACTTGGAGGGTTCATGGGTAGTTATAAGTGCGGTTATAAGTCCCCTAATATGGGTTCTAAGTAGAGTTACCCTACTTATAACCTTACTTATAACTACCCATGAACCTCCAAGTAACTCAGGTAGTTAGCTCCGGTAGAAAACGTGTAAGATCACATCTCAAGCCTACAGAAGTTCACGGAGAGCATCCTGGCTCCTAAGAATGAGCGTTTTGCGACATCGGTTTAGGGTTGAGGGGTTTAGGGTTTAGGATTGCGAAGTCACTGCCGATGCGACATCGAAGGCATGATTGGACGACAGGTTGTCTGTCATGCAGAAACATGGAATGAGGAACGATAAAGATGCCAAATCCTTCAAGGAACCCTAGTCCAGCTCTTAGCTACGTAGGTACCCCAGTGAAATTGTGCAAGTTCCGGGGCTACAGTGAGCATCACCAACAGAAGCATCACCAGTGCTTCAGCATTATTACTAGCAGCACTGCTGTCCTCGAAAATCTGAGGCGTAGATTGGTTACCGGAATACGAGACCCTAAACCCAACTCCCCACAAGAAAGACACCTAGTCCTGAACGCTAAACCCCAACCCAGGCCCTGTGAACAGAACCATTCGCCAATCTTGTGCGAGCATCGCAGGCGCGACTGGCCTTCAACTGCGATGCGGTCTTCAAATCCATGTCAGAGGTTCTTGAGGGTTTAGCGGCCCAGGGGTCAGGTGTCTTAGGTTTAGGGGTGGGTGTCCGATTTTGCAGGGACTTGCGGCTTAGACTTCAGAGCTAGTGTCTGCTTGCAGCAAGGTAGCCCCTTTCTCCCCCTTTGGGGAACGAATGCCTATACTACTTCTCTTCGGGCTGCTTTGCCTCTGCACTGGCTACATAACCCCAAATCCTAGACCCTAAACACGAATATTACTATTTTAAATATTCGTACTAATACTTAATACGAATCTTAAGGCTACAGAGGGGGGTGCTTGTACCCAAGATCGGCTCAGATGGATGCCCGAGTACCTGTAATATAGGGGCTGAAACAATTGCCAGTACTATTTAGGGGGTACCGCTTTTTCAGTATGGTACAGTATGCCCCAAAAACCTCATACCAATTATCAAGGCCGCTATATTACAGATTCATTGACTTTGAAGCTCATGGCATGAGACGAGCAGCTCCGGTCATTCGTGGGCGGAAAGAGACATAGGCATACTGATCCTGGCAGTGACTGTCAGCACTTGTGCGCGAGAATGGCGCTCGGACACTTAGCAGTGTTCGTCACAGGGTCATCGATATGCTGCAGTCACCGTCGCGGTTGCAAAGGGCTCCCTCTAGTGGCCTTGGTGCTGCCGACGAAGAGACAGTACTTGCGCGGCGAGTGCTGTTCGACTAATGGAGGGTGTCTAGCGTGTCTGTCCCGCCCATGATAGGCTAGAAAGTTTTGACATGCAAGGTGATATGGAGCTTGTGTAGCGATCTTGCGAGTGAATCTGAAAGCTCTATCGCAGCCTTCCTGTCCATGCGAAGTCCATGAGGTAACGCAGGGGAATGCACAGCACTCAGGCAAGAAGCGAAAGCTGCACTCATCCTCCTTTTTATGGTAAGAGACGCATCCACCGCCCTGACTTCAGAGGAGAACCGGAGGCCCTCTGAAATTATCCCGTGGACATGAATCATGAACCTGCCAAAACAGGCCCAATCCAGCGTCCCTACGCAACCACGGGCATGACAGTATAAATATAAACTACTTGGAGGTTCATGGGTAGTTATAAGTGGGGTTATACGTCCCCTAATATGGGGTATAAGTATAGTTACCCTACTTATAACCTTACTTAGAATTACCCATGAACCTCCAAGCAAGACCCTGAAAGATAAAAACCTTAAACCCCTCAACCTTCTTAACAACGCCCTGCGGCGCCAACACCCTGTGAACCCCCAACACTACATCCAAGCCTCTAAACCCTACAACCCCAAACCCATGAACCTTAAAACCCCAAATGGGTGGTTGTCAAAATCATGGTCCCCTTTTTGGGTCCTTAGAATACTACGGCACCTAATATGTAGGGTACCCAAAAAGGGACCCTAATTTTGACAACCCCCCCCGCCCCCAAATGAAAGCCTGTACTTGTCAGTCCGGCGTCCTCAACCGCGGTTCTGACTGCGACGTTTTGCCCGGGATGCCCGTGGCTGAGCGTGGGTTTTAGGGTTTAGGGGTTTTAGGGTTTTGGAGTTTAGGCTTCAGGGTTTAGGCTTCAGGGTTGAGGGTTTAGGGTTTAGGGTCTTCAGGGTTGAGGGTTTGGGGTTCGGTAGGGTTTCGGGGAGTGTTCATCACAGTTGGCGGTTTGGGGCATAGATGGATTCGGTTACAGCGTTTGGGGTGTAGGTTCTCGGGTAATTGAGCGAGTTGAGGTGTGCAAATGCATTCCAAAAACCCCGCAATCTTACTAGGCAGATCATTCGCAGAAAGCAGAGTGCTGCACTTGATTGGAAAAGACATAATGTAGTATCACTGGGATGTTCAGGTAATATTTGCTGTTATGCAGAACGACAGCAAGCTGTTGAGGGGTTTCCGGTTTTTGACCCCGAGATTCTATAGATTCTCCACTCCCGCAGCTTCTGAATCTTGGAATCTTGAGCATCGAAATCCGAAGCTTGCCTTTGATATCCCCAATCAAACTCTGAAAACCAAGGCCTACAGACCCCAGTAAGATGAGTCTGAGCATAGCCCTCAAAACCAAAAGCCTTGAGGTCATAAACTCAACCAACGCACCCTGAACCCCCTGTACATAAGGTCTAACAACCTGACAGAAGAGACTAGACCCTACACCCTTTACCCCCTAAACCCCAAACCCTAAACCCTAAGCCCTAAACCCTCAACCTCTGCAGACGGAAAAAGGTTTTCAAAAGAAACCCTCAACCCTGAACACCCAGGTTTGATCTCACGGCAGCCTCCAACAACATCCCGTACGAGAGGGCCTTGGCACATGCCGGTTCTTACTGGGGTTTACCTTAACACTGAACATCCTACCTTTTTAAGGACTCATATAAGGAAATCAGAATAAGGAGCCCTGAACAGGTAGGATATTTGGGGGTAAGGTAGGGTTTAGGGCGTAAGGTTGAGGGTTTAGGGTTTGCCGTAGAGTGGCGCAAAAGCGAATATCTTGCGACTGTATGTTCGACTGCGTCGTAGTATGACCCTCGGAGGTCGGCGGCCTAGGCCTTGAGTTTAGGTTTACGGTTAGTTTAGGGTTCGGGTTGAGCGGTCGTTCCTTGCTCAAGGCCCTTTAATGGTCCTGTAGGGTCCTGCAGGGATCTCGAATAAGGTTCCCTTGAAGGGTACTTTATAGGGTTCTAGAAGCCCAGACCCAAAATCCTGAACGAGACACCCTGAGCCCAAAACTGACCCTAGATAGTCTAAACCACCTTGCAGGGCTTAATCCATTTCCGGGAACTTAAATTAAACCCCTAAACCCTAAACCCTAAACCTCTTTATCATATAGTAATTTAAACCTTAATGGAATTCGTGGATCAGGCCCAAAATTGGGTCCAAAATTCGTGGACCAGGCCCAAAATCCACGAATCCAGGCCCAAAATCCACGAATCCAGGCCCAAAATCCACGAATCCAGGCCCAAAATCCACGAATCCAGGCCCAAACCCAGGATCCACGAATCCAAGCCCAAAACCAGGCCCCAAATCCACGAATACAGGCCCAAAATCCAGGAATCCAGGCCCAGAACCAGGCCCAAAATCCACGAATTCAGGCCCAAAGCCAAGCCCCAAATCCACGAATCCAGAATCTAGGCCCAAACCCACGAACTTGTGCCCACCCTTTCGCGGGGCCTACCTTTTCGTGGCACGGGCCCGGGAAAGGGAGGCCCAAATTCGTGGGTTTGGGCCTACTCCTCGTGGGACGGGCCCGGGCCCGTCCCACGAAAGGGTAGGCACAAATTCTTTGGAAGGATCTAGGGTGGGTTGGATATTTCTGATTGAAGGATCTAGGGTGGGTTGGGGAGGTGTCGAAGCAACCTCAAGCTGGGCAAAGCTTCGAAGGATCTAGGGTAGGGTTTCAGCTTTTCGGTCATCGCAAAGAAACTTGACAGCTGTGGTTGCCATCGTAAAGCGATGGCGTGACCGCAGCCTCAACTGTTCCGGGCAATGCTTTATGTCTTGAAAGTGTGGATGCTTAGCGACAGCAGCAACTTCAACTATTTACTTGCTTTACTCAAAACAAGCAAGCAACGGTGTTGACACCATAGGAAATTTAGGGTTTAGCGACAGCAGCAACTTCAATCTTTTACTTACTTTACTTAAAACAAGCAAGCAACGGTGTTGACACCATAGGAAATTTAAGGTTTAGCGACAGCAACAACTTCAATCTTTTACATCAAGCAAGCAGCGGTAGTCACATCGCATAAAATTTAAGGTTTAGCTCAGCCACATGATTGTGTGGACGGCTTTTACTTAAGACTTGACAACGACGGTGCTGACATTTTAACATATTTAAGGTTTAGCTCTTGACCGGAACGCGAGGTTCAAAGTTTAAGACTAGTGAAGGGTTCAGAGTTTAAAGGTTTAGGGTTTAAGGGTTCAGGGGTTAATATGTCCAGCTGTGAAAGAAGTGAAACCTTGTATTTCCCTGATGTTATGGGATTCTGAGGGTGGGTGGGTGTTATTTCTAAACCGTAAACACAACTCTACTTTAAAACTGCTCGATCCGGAGCTGCTGAACCCTAAACCCTAAACCCTAAACCCAAATCTGCCCAAGCCCTGTTATTGAATCTCACTCTCTCAGCCCCAACCCAAGCCCAGGACTCCCAAAGGGTCGGCAGGGTGGAGGGGTTTAGGGTTTAGGGTTTAGGGTTTAGGGTTTAGGGTTTAGGGAGCATGACCCCTAGTTGAAACCCCCGAAAAAAGCAGAAGGTACAGGTAACACAGGGGCTCCCTCCAGGGGGTCCTTGAAGTACCCTCTGGCATTCTATGCATGGACATTTGGGCCCCTGAGTACTTGTGAAACGCCAAGATTATGAAACCGCCGCCGCAGTAGATAGCCCACCCCCCATCGAAAAAACAGAGAACTGAAGCCTAAGCCCTGAAAACCTTGAAACCCTTCAACTCCTAACCTACCCATAGGCCCCAAAGTAGTTCCTTGTTGGGATTACCTTATAGGATTCTAATATGAACCCCAAAAAGGAACTTACTTTGGGGCCTGAGGGTACTGAGCCCTTCGGACCCCCCTTGGGTCGGCCGCAGTTGCTCAGGTCTGGTCTTTGCCTCATTTCTATCTCGTCGAAGCACAGGACACGTCCCTCGAATAGGATGCCCAGTAGTACCCTTATTCCCTTTTTGTAGTCCTAGGTTCCTTATAGAGGTACATAAAGGTACCCAATACCAAAAAAGGAACCTTTTTTTGTTCCTGGGTTACTGGGCATCCTAGTAAATCCCTAAACTCAAACCCCCTGTATTCGGTTTGGGGTTTGGGGTTTCTGTTTCGTCGAAGCACGGGACACGCCCCTTCTTGTGCGGGGTCGGACTAGCTTTTAGGATTGAGGTTAGAGGGGGGGTTAGGGTTCAGGGTTGGGGGCTTCAAGTTCTAGGGCTCACTTAGAGTATATTCTTTGGCTTTGGGGCTGAGGGTCTTAATTAGGGGTGTTTGAGGTTTCATATAGGGGCTTGAATGAATGATTGGTGGTAACAATTTCTCCTGTAGACCCCTATCAAAAGGGTGTCCTGACAAGATACCCAACCTGGAGGTTCACGGGTAGCTATAAGTGGGGTTATAAGTCCCCTAATCGGGGCTATAGGTATAGTTACCCTACTTATAACCCTACATAGCCCTACTTGATGAACCTCCAAGTATTCCATTCGTTGTGGCCACTCCGGAAGTCTTTGAACTCTGAGCCCTAGCTTCAGGGCTTCTGGGTACTGGCAGGGTCTTGGGTCTCATGATTGGGGGATCACGAATTTGGGTGGTTAAAGGTTTTGGGTTTAGGACTTAGGGTTTCCAGTTTAGGCATTGGGGTTTAAGCAGTTGGGTTGGGGAGTTTGCATGAGTTTCTTTGGGCTTGCACTTCATTGGGTTGTCCTGTGGGATCTTTTTTAATTTTCCCTACTAGTTTGTAGAGAACCATAATAGCAAATAATTTTCAAAGGGCTTAAAGGACAACTCAGTTCAGGATTGGGGGAGCTAGCCGCTAGCCCGCAGTGAGACTTTGAGGGCTATGTTCAGGACTGTAAATCTCACATTCTGCACCCCCGATCTCCAAAGCCGTATCCACCACCGGCCTGAAAGCCGCAGCTCAATCACCCTTAATCTAGGGGTACGAATGGCCGTACAGGCTATCATGGAATATGCCCCAATCTTATAATGACCCTACAAAGCAACCCTACTCTAATTCTTAAGGCCCCCGTATTAGACCCTTCTAGTATCCCTCAATACCGAGCCTTTTGACGTACCCCGTAGTATAAGACCCTATCAAGGAGCCTAATAATTCTATTTCTTCAGCCCTAAACCCTAAAACCGTAAGACCCCTAAACCCTAAACCCCTAAACCCCTGAACACTAAACCCCTAAACCCTAAACCCTAAAACCGTAAGACCCCTAAACATCTTAGCCAGGACAGCACGCAGCACCCGCGGATGCTCGTCTCTCTTGGGCAGGATCCCGATCCCCAGAGCTGTTTCTATCACCATCACTACCCAGAGGCCCCCAAGTAGTTCCTTGTAGGGGTTCATATATAGAATCTATAAGGTAATCCCAAAAAGGAACTACTATGGGGCCTCTGGGGGTTTACTGTTGCAAGTATTACTGTTATTAGTCTTACGGTTACTGCCATATGATTCATGGAAGAACTGCGATGATCACGAGAGCACACGCACGGAAGGATCCGGCATCTGTGAGTTACGGGAGACGTTTTGTGGGGGCTTGGAGAGTCGGGGGACTTAGTAACTGGTTATTTTAGGGACTATAAGTAACATAACCCCAATTGGGGTCCCTTTTAGGGTGCTTATAAGTCTACTTACTACCTACTTACTAAGTCCCCAGACCCTCCAAGGGGTTGCCAGAGAACCTTCAGAGTCAGATCCGTATCTGCCTGTGGAAACCTAAAGCCTGGACGCCATGTGGGAGTTTGTGAAAATTAGGGGTACCTTATTTTGGGGTCCTTAGAAAAAGGATCCTACTATTTTAAAATTTAGGGTGCTATATTAGGGTATTAGGGTGCCCTATTTTCGGAAACTCCCATGTAAAGCTCAACGGTTTCTGCAGTCTCGTCGTTCAGACTCAGGAACAACCTCATTGGCTTTGTCACGCCGACGGGCCCTAGGCACCGGGTGAAGGGTTCCTTTTTAGGGTTTAGGGTTTAGGGTTTAGGGTGAGCTTTGAAGTTTGAGTTTCTTGCCGCGACAAGCTTCTATGACCCCCATATATACCGCAATGTAGTCCCGAAATCTTCAACTTCCAACATCCCCCCAATATTAGAGTAGGCAACCTTTAACCTTTTTTGGGTAGTATAGTCCCTATATAATCCCTATATAACCAAAAAGGTTAACCTTTAGTTCCCCATGATACCTGACGAGTGCTAAAACGAGTTGAGGGTTTTTTTCATGGAGGAGGTCGGGCTTGCGACCTTTGCCACAGGAGATAGGAGTTTCCGAAAATTAGGGGTACCTTACTTTGGGGTCCTTATAATAAGGATCCTACTATTTAGGGTGCAATATTAGGGTGTCCTATTTTCGGAAACTCCTATACACCTTACGTCTCAATTGCGCAGAGCCCTACGGCTTGAAAGCACGGGGTTTGGGGACAAAGGTTTCGAGTTCTCCTTCAGAACCCTTGGGAATGAATAAGGTTTAGCGTTCACTATAGGATTTAGATTTTAGGGTTTAGGGTTCAGGTCAGGGCCGGGAATTCAAGGTCTGTCGTGTTGCGGTCGCCGAAAATAGAGCATCCAGGGTCGCAGTGAAAGGAGCTGACACCCGGTGCAGATGTCAACGGCTGTGATTGTCCCCTAAGTCCCTAAGTCCGGTTCCTGTCTGTCTTTTTGAACCCCTCACATGGGTCGGGTGGTTTGACAACCGCTTGCGCAGGACCGAACAGAAACTTGTTTCCATGATTCCATGCAACCCTTACTTGAGCGTTCATGGGTAGTTAAAACTAGGGTTATAAGTAGGGTAACTATACTTATACTCCATATTGGGGGCACTTGTAACCCCACCAAAAAACAAAACACCCATGAACCTCCAAGTAGCCCCGAACTTCCTGCAGGATTCTTCCCCAAAGGGTCCAATGTACCGATATAGTAGAATGTAGGGTTCCCATATTAGGAATTACTATTATGACCTAGGGAAGTATCCCCCATAACAGTACATAGGATCATTTGGGTTCTTACCTGGAAACAGATGTATATGACGACGCCACATGAAGCCTTGGTCCGATCCTTCAGCTCGCTAGCGATATTCCGCCGCGAAGCTGTACCCAGAGCCTCCAAAACCCCTTAATTAAGGAGTATACCTCAAATCATATTGGGGATCCTACTATAATTTAAGGTATATTCCTTAATTAAGGGGTTCTGGAGGCTCTGGGTAGATGCAGGTATCGCAACATGGTTGTTGTGGAGCGCGAGTCTGGAAGAGCCGCTCAGAGAAAGTCGCCCTCCCCCGCCCCCCACCTCCGCTTTCAGGTGAGACACCAAGCACCAGACCCTGGTAATTAGCTTTCTCTTACCCGACGTCCAAGACCAAACATAACTCTGCAGTAAATCCTTGGCTCTGGGAAATTGCTCCCTGTGGTGAGCAATAGAGAATGCCGACCAGGCGCACCCAAGCAGAGTTCATGAAGGTTTGTTTTGGCTGATGGATCTGGATGATTTGCGCGTTAAGAGCTCGCACCTTGCAGCGTTACAAGCTCTTTGCAATCCTCATAATTCAGTTCTGATCAGACAACATAATATGTTATTCTTTGCAATATTTTGACTGCACTCAGGTTCTGCAGAGCATGCTGAAGGAACAGATCTCGGTTCGCTTGTACAAGGACATCGACCGCAAACCCAAAGCCCTTAACCCCTGAGCCCCATACCCTAGACCCTGAACCGCAAGCCCTCAACCGAATGCTCGAGAGAGCGCCTTGGCGATCTGCAGATCCGAAGCCTGACCTCAAGGCATATCAGCGCAACCAAATATTCTAACTCTTAAGGCCCCGCACACGCATTTCCAGGAAGCTCACAACCTCCCCACAAACCGCCCCACAATCCCCAAATCCTAAGCCCTTCACGGACAGGCTTTGGGCTTCGGGTTTGGATGTATCGAGTCCACCCTGGAGGACAACCGAAATTACTTCTTCACGAAGCACAAGTCCATCGCGGTGCCTCTGTACTGGAGGCAGCGACCTTTGATACCGCTGCCGATGTCAATATGTTTAACACCTACCCTAAACCCTAGACCTGGATTTGGCTACCCCATCTCAAGAAGAATACACAGAGACCCAACAAGACAAACGGTACGTACACGTATCAGTACTGATGGTAGCGACAGAGTCGCAGTTTGTCGTCGGCATCACAGTAGTGGTCGCAATATTAGCATTGTTGTTATTAATATTATTAGTGGTCGCAGTAGTAGTAGTAGTAGTAGTAGTAGTAGTAGTAGTAGTAGTAGTAGTAGTAGTAGTAGTAGTAGTAGTGGTAGTAGTGGTAGTGGTAGTGGTAGTGGTAGTGGTAGTGGTAGTGGTAGTGGTGGCAATGCCAATAATGAAAAAAGGCGGTGGCAGTGGTAGTGGTAGCAGCGGCAGTAGCAGTACTAGTACCAATACTAGTAGTAGCAGCAGCAGCACCAGTGACCCTGGGGCCACGACGATGACGACGAGTACCTGTGTTGTTGAATGTTTGAAGCCCCATGCCCAGAAGGCACTAACCCCTCCAAGGATGGACACCAAAAATGCAACAGTGGCTGAGCGACAGCTGCCAGAAGCCTAGCCACCCTTTGGCTCCTAGTAGCTGAGCATGTATCCTTCGGGCTAAAGGCCTAGGGCTTGGGTTTAGGCAGTTTAGGGGATTTTGGTGTTGTCGTTCTGTCCTACTAAATATGCTGCCTTTTCGGTTGGTTTCTGCTGGTGTAACTAACTCACCATAAGACAATAACAGCCGCTTGTTGGGCCAGGGAATCCGCAACGAGCTTTGGGATTCAAGTCTCTCATGGGCTAAGCGTTTAGGTTCCCTGCACCCTATAGCCCTAAACCCTAGGCCGGTTCAAAGTTTCATGTGGATCCTTAACCGCGCATCTGCAGGTCATGCCCCAGGAATCCTAGATCCTTGGTATGTACTACTAATCGCTTCCTCAACTTATCGGACATGCCCTATCAAAAGCCGAACCCTGAGCTCCCCACCCTAAACCCCTAGACCTTGAACCCCTAAAGCCCTAAACCCCGCAATCGCATGATGGCAAACTCTCCGGCTGGGAGTTGTTCGGACACGGGCTTTGCCAGTGAATCTAATATAGGGGTCGAAATAATTAGTAATATTATCCCCTCATCTTCCGATAGCTCTAGTGTATTAATGTACACAAAAACCTGAGTTTTGTCTATGAAGGCGCCCGTATTGGGGAAGGTTTAGGGTTCAGGGTCTAGCACGACTTATACCTGTCAAGGATGCCCAGTAGTACCCTTATTCGCTTTTTGTAGTCCTAGGTTCCTTACAAAGGTACCCAATACCAAAAACGGAGCCCTTTTTATTCCTAGGTTACTGGGCATCCTAGCTATACTTGCTGTCAGCCGTCCTATTCATGCTGTTAGGAGTCGAAAGCAGCAGGGAGCATTTCAGGAGAGTCAAGAGCAGGAGCCCAGGGACTCCAAGATCCCTTTCATTAAGGGATATATCTTACGGTTTAGGGTTTAGGGTTCAAGGCTTAGGGTTTAGGGATAGTAGGATCCCTAACATGATTTAGGGCATATCCCTTTAATAAGGGTTCACTGGTCGAAACCCCTCGAAGTCTAAGAAAGAGGTCGCTCAAAATGCAGGCAAACCCTGATCCCCAAACTCTAAACCACGAGGCTCTGAACCTTGAACGGTTTAGGGTTGTTAGGGTTTAGGGTGGTTTAGGGTTTATGTAGAGTTTAGGGGTTTAGGGGTTTAGGGTTTAGGCCTCAACTTGAACCGCTCCTAAACCCAGAAATCCGCTAAGTCCTAAAGCCTAAGACCGAAACCTTCAACTTTGGCCCCAAAACCCTAGTCGAATTATTAAGGCCCCTATACTATAGTACCCTGGTATAGATCCCTTATAGTAGCCCCTGATAGACACCTTTAAAGGGACCCTATTCTAATCCTCAACTTTGAGCCCAGGCTGAGCTCACTGCAGAGCACCTTCCGTGGCCTGGATGCTGGCTTCTTCGCATGCATGATCCTGGGGGCCGGGGGCCCAAATTCCTGCATTTAGGATTTAGGGTTTGGGGGTTTACGGCCGGGCCCAAATTCCTCTACTCATGGCTTTTGAGGGGCGAATATAGGCAATTCACAATCAGAGTAAATTGGAGTAGAGTTGTGTTAGGACCAGGTGCATGGTGTTACTATTCCTCTTTTGGACAACCTCTACAGTAATTTGACTGTATTTTTCTTGGATTTTTGGCGTGAATGTTTAGCATCTATAGGGGCACCGGGATGCAGTTTTGAGAGATGGGTTTAAGGGGGCCGGAAAGTGTTCGCCAATAATGAACTAGGACTACCTGAACCCTAGGTATACAGCCTAGCTTTTGGGGATCCTTATTACGATTACTTCTTTAAGTCTTCAAAGCGGCAGATTAGTTGAGGTTAAGGTAAGCCCATATCTAGACCCTAAACCCTATAATTCCTTGAGCAGGTGTGCTCTTTAGGGTCGGGCGTATCGGTTGTAGTGAGTAGAGTCCCACCTTCTTACCTGTGGTTAGTAGGGAATGGAGGAATGGGTTACAATTATAACTACGATTGCTACCATTCTGCCATTCCCTACTAACCAAAGGTAAGGAAACAGCCTCATGAGGCGGGGCGACCTCTTGAGGGCGCCGAAATGGTCTTACTCTGTGCCAACAAACACAACGGCTGATGCAGTAGCTAGCACGCTTCTGCATTGTGTATGTGCATATGTATATATATATATATATATATATATATATATATATATATATATATATATATATATATATATATATATATATATATATGTATATGTATATATATATATATATATGTATGTGTATATATATATATATATATATATATATATCAGCTTTTTGTTCATTTAGGTTTGTTCTTTTACGATGATGACTATTGGTTTTGATAGGTCAATTATTGCTGGTATGCTTATTGTTACGTATCTTTCTCTATGTAGGAGCCTACCCCTGGGATGCAGCGGTTCTTCGCTTGTCGACGCAGCATTTTGGCTCGGAGCTGGGCGTGGCGAGTTCTCGCAAGGTGCCGCCGTTGCAACCGGTTTAGAGTTTAAACCTTAGAACTCAGGGCTTAAACCCTACCTAGAGTTTAAAGGTCCTGGGTTTAACATCCTCTGGCCAGCCGTCGTTCGGCGCTGTGTAACAGATCAGCGAAGATGACAGTTATGGCGGACCTCGAGCCACTGGTCCAGCAAGCACCGAACCAACAGGTCATGGTCACAGAGGACCAGAAGCAAAAGTTGGCATGTATTCTGTCGCGGCCACTCTATACCTGCCTGTCCTGCGGTGTCACAATGTCAGACAGGTCGGAAATGCTGCGACACCGTTACTTTGCAGAGATCGGGGCCTCGGTGGGGGAAGACGATATGGGCTGGCCTTCCGTGGAGCCGTACATGGTACATCATGAGGGCTATCCCCGCACTGGGGGCAAAGCAACGACTATGTCTGACATTGAGCACTTCCAGCGTACCACCATCTTCTTCAACCTCGTCTTTGTGGAAGCGAGTGAGCATATATGCAAAACTGGCTGCAGCACTGCAATGGACCTGTTTTGTGTGAACTTCGCGGGCTGCTGCGGCGGCGCAGCAAGCAACGCAGATGAAGAGCTGCTCAAGTCGTCGCTGGACGACAACTTCTTCAACGACATCTTCAACGCACACTTCGGCGGCACCATGCTGCGTGCCCCTCTTCCGGCCGAGGCAGTCTGGGGAGATGCGGTGGTTTGCGACCTGAGGGAGCCCCTTCAGGGCTTTGAGCTGCGTGAGGGCCACGTCTACCACCCTTGCCGGGTCGTTTTCCGTCAGGACCCAAGGGGAGGATCCAACGACCAACATATACATATTATGAATGTGTGTATATATATATATATATATGTACATGTACATGGTAGATAGAGAGAGAGAGAGAGAGAGAGAGAGAGAGAGAGAGAAGGTTCTGGGAGACATTTGGGCCCCAAAAGTATATACTATACTGTTGCGTGCACCCTCTGGGAGGAGAAACAAGGCCTCGCGGTGGAAGCCATTGTGACAGGGGGTGCCAGGAGCCCCGAGACGGCGTACCGCCCTGACACAGGCGCCGAGGAGTGGCTGTGGGCGAAACGTCAAGCCGTGGCAGGAGCACTCCAGCGCCATCAGTACCAGGAGCTGAGCAGAAGAGGTTTGCACAACGGTGTAATACCATTCGCAATGATAAGAAAAGGGTAAGAGTAATAGTAAACAACAATCTAGTAGTGACTATTGTTAACAACGAGGTGAGGGGGTTCGGTCTTGCCAGGAGCACCTGGTAAATGGCCACATGGTCATGGAAACCTTCGTGGCGCTCGCCTACAAGCACCTCTCGCCCGAGCACTACGCTTTCAAGCTACTGGGGCCCGTGAGTGGCGACGTGGGCTTTGTGAACCGCTCCTGGGGGATGGACCCTGGTATTGAGCATGGTGGGATGCCCTAAATAAAGACACTAAACCCTAAACAAACCCTAAACCCTAAACCCCAGACCAAAGGGTTACATGTAGTATCATTCCGAAGACAAACGAGAGTCTCGACTTCCAGAGCATCGGAATCCAGAGTAAGTAGAGTCCTTACCCAGGTGGCTGCATGACATACTCAGAGTTTGCTTGTAGTAGGAAGTGCCGCAAATCCTATGTCCACAGTGTGAGGCCAAATCTAAAACCCAAACCGTGAATCACAAGCCTGAAGTACCAACCCCCTGAGGAACGCGAGCCTGAACTGCTAAAGAGCCCCAGCAAGCCAAAGTGATTCACATGGGCGCCGGAATATTTCCTAAAATTAATCCTTAGGATCTAAATTACAATGAGATTTTGATATACCCCAACACCAAACCCTAAACCCCGTAGCTTCACAGGACATACTCGTGAACGGCACCGGGGAGCCCATCAATGACTGGTGCATTGCGCCAGTGACACCCAGGGCGCTGCTGTCCGAGGCTGGCTTCCGTAGGTTGGTTCGGGGGTTTAGGGTTTGCGACTGGGTCTAAAGTGCTTCGGTGTGGTTTCAGTTCACTTTGGGGTGATTTTTGGCTGTTTCGAATCAATGGTTGAGTGTGGGGTGAGCCCAGTGTTGAGGCCTGAGAAGCCCTTTAGGCACTGCGACGCTAAACCCTGCAACCTGATTCGCGTGTCTGAGGCAGGGGTCTTGAGCCAGATCCTCCACGCGCAGCAAAGCTTCGAGCCCACTAAGTCCTGGTTTTGGTTCGACGAGGGCGGCTACGAGTCTCGCCTGAACTGAAATTCAAAACCCAAAAGCCTGAACCGATAAACGAAACCCTAAACTAAACCCTATGCTAGCATGGTTTCATGCAAGGACATGCTTCGGATCTTCAGGACCCGTTTCAGCTTCATGGCATTGCCATCCTCGGTATCCCTGCAACGCCTTGACGGAAGGTGGCGAAGCTTCCACAAACCCCTAAGCATCACCCATCCATTAGATCAGTGTATGTATGTATGTATATATATATATATTTATGTATATACGCACATACATACATGTATATGTATATGCATACACCTACACCTATACATCTACCTCTACGTCTACATCCACAAGTGCATATATACATACATATACGTTCACATATACCTCTACACGCGCACACACACAGACATATACATATACATGTGTATATATATATATATATGTATATATACACACACACACATGCTGGCTATATGTCTATCTATGGAGTTCGTGTCTTTTGCTTTACATGAAGTTATATGTCCAAGGTCATGGGAGGCTGCGGCGTCAAGGAGTCCACCCCCTTCGTGGTGCGGGACACGGCGCGCAGGTTCTTCGATGTGACCCTGGCTTGGACAAGCTTCGTGGTGGAAGCAACCAGGTTGGAGTTTAGGGGTTTAGGGTCTAGGGGTTCATGGGCAGTTATAAGTAGGGTTGTAAGTAGGGTAATCATGTTTCTTTCCCATATTAGGGGACTTATAACCCCACTTAAAACTACCCATGAATCTCCAAGTAGGGTGCACGGGTTTAGGGCGCTTCGGGTTTAGGAGTTTAAGGTCTGCAGGGCGACCGGATTGAAGGGTTTAGAGTCTGCAGTGTGGGTTGAAGGTTTCAGTTTCTGCGCTTTAGTGTTTGCATTTCTTATGACTGTCTTTGCTTGCTTTAAGGGTTTATCAACAACCGCTTTGTTCGTACTTCGTACTTGTTCCTGTCCTGTTGCCAGCAGTGTATCTATGAGTCTTTGCCCTATCCCGCAACTTACATGCCTTAACACTGAAGCCGAAGCCACTACACCGGTCACCACTCAAACCACTGAAACCTTTAAACATCATACCTTAAGCCTAAACTGGCCCTAGAGTTTAACCTCAGAACAGAAAACCCTCAACCCCCGGGCTGCTCCTTAATAGAGCCCTTATGGCCTTATGATTCTTAATTCTGGGTGTTTGGGGTTAGAGGGTAGTTGGGGGTAAAGGAAAGCCCCCGAAAGACCACAAGAAAATACGAACGAAATGGTGTTTTTCTTAGGATTTAATTGTTGGTAATCTTCATTTTAATACATCATCACATGCCAGGAAAAGAGCTTTGTTTTGGTAGTTTTGTTTCATTATATTTAACCTCTAATCCTATCACCTGTTTACCTTAGAAGTTGTTGGTTCATTTCCCATTGAAGATTATTACCGCTGTCTTACACAAGGAACACCCGTCTAACCTCGAGCCTTTGTTCATGCTGTTAATTCCGTTCGCTTTGTTTATAATGTAATGGAATGGAAGCATGAAACAAAGAAGGAACGGAAACAACAGCATTTCCAAACCCTAGAAAGACCGCTCCTAATTCAACCGCACAATCGAATGCCACTTCTTTTCAAAACCTAGGCATACTGGCGGGAGGAGGATCCGGCACTACGTGCCTGGTGGGAGGCAACTGAACTCGGCAGGTTAGTCGGGTTTAACTTAAACCCTAAACCCTAAACCCTAAACTTAAGGTTTAGACTCGAGGTTTTTGTGGGTTTGGAGTT